TATGTTATATTTTATTTCTGGTCAGTTGGAGAGTTGCCCTGCCAGCAGAGTGATCAGATCAAAGTTGAAGTATGCTTCGAGCATCTGCCGGGGCACGTGGCCGATATGGCGGCCGAAGCCTCGCCATACCTTCAGTTCCCTGTGATAGCAGGTCATATAGGGGTCAGAGGGATAGAAGCACTGTATATAGAATGGGTGAATATACCTATTATTGTGATCACAAGAATGATGCAAAAAGTGTCTGGAGTTTTCGGTGCAGCGAGTCTAGAAAAAATCCACATTGCCCTGCCAGAGCTATATCTCATTTGCCAAATGTTGAAGACCTTCAGCCGGCGGCACACACATGGGCCAGCTTACCCTCTGAGGGAGGCCTACTTAAGGCATAGGGAAGAATTAATTAATCTGTGCCTGAGGCAAAGGTCTTGTTCCCTCAAGAAAATTATCGACAGCCATGTCAATAAGTGAGTACTTTTTTAAGCTCATCTTTGAAAGTCTAAAAGTGTGATTAAATGCTTACCTGCTTTGGATTTTCACCTTGCTCATGGGCACTTAACCAAAAATACTTACACAATGCAATAAATTTAGATTAATGTTGTTATTTGCCTCTTTCCCAGGCTTGAGGATCAGCGCCTTGTGGATAGTTTCAACACTGAATCCATCAAGAAGGCAGTCAACCGAAGCTAAGATGGCCTGCGCAACTTAACCCTTTCCTAAATGACAATGCATTGCCATGCACACTAGGTGCCTCATCCGTTTCCCGAAATTCCGCGCCGGTTTCTGCCCAAACTACTCCCCTCCCACAGCCTACGGCTGTCGGAAAATTCGCCCACCCCTGTTTTACCTTCTGGAAGTTACAGACAATCCGTAAGACCATCCCCGGACTGCCCAGGACTCGTATCCTGGCCCATGAGCCGGCTTAAGTAACGATTTGGAGCGTTTACAGAGTAATTGGCTGAGCGATTAGCGAAGCCCATTACTCCGGTATGTGTTCAACTGGAAAGTTGTGCACTTATAAGTGTGTCACTGCCCTTATAAACTGGTAGATGTACGCCAGACCACGTCTCGCGTTACAGGCTTCGCGATATCTCACGAAACACTGTTACGCTGCGACGCGCCTGGCATACATCTGCCTAGGCCTGCGGCGCTGACACTTGAGTCGGGCCAAAGGCAGAGTCGTAAGTAGGCATTCGGCCCCAAAAGTCACAAATTTTGTTCCTCGGAGTTTTATTTTAACGCGTTACCCTACCGGAGACCATCAAGTACCTAAGAAAAAACGTAGAAATGTTTTGCGGTCATATTCGTGTAGAAAACTCCCTCTGGTGCCTAAACGGTTGCAGATAGAGCCAAATGGACGAGTTTTCGCCCAAAGGGCTCTACTTTGATGAGTTACCTCTTAGGAAACAGTAAAAAAACAATTTAGAAAAACGTCATATTGGGGACGTGTTTTTTTTGTTTTTTTTTAATCCAATTTTTGAGCTAGAATGCTGTTCTTCGAACTTGATCTGTCTTTTTATGACACATAAAGGCCCTAAAAATCCTAGGTCGCTGGCTCAATTCGCTCTCGAGTTATCGTGATGACAGACAGACACACAGACAGACAGACGCGAAACTTTTTGATCATCACTGTAGTGATTGGCTGAGCGATTAGCGAAGCCCATAACTCCACTGACCGGAAAAGTTTCATTCTGTCAGTTTGTTTGTTTTTTTGTATGTCCGTCTGTACGCACGATAACTCGAGAAAGAATTGAGATAGCGACCTGGGATTTTCAGGGTTGTTTTGTATCATATAAAGACAGATCGAGTTCGAAGATGAACACTCTAGCTCAAAAATTGACTTTCAAAAAGATCAATAACCCTCGCAATAACCACAGGTAACAAAATATTATTTTTTCAAATATTTTTTTAACAGTTGATTGTTTTAGCCTCTTATCTATCATGGCCAACATTCCACAATCTATCATGCTAAATTCATCAATTACAATAAATTGAACATCTCTTAAACCATTGCAAAATGTTCTGGCCTCTTCATTTTCTGAATCGGAAAATTCTTTCAATGAAGAAATATGCAATTTCGCATGTATTGTAGATCCAGAAATGTTAACCGCAGCAACCCCAGTGGGAGCTAAAAGCAATAAAGATTTCTGGCCTATTTATCTCATGACTCTATTTGTTCATGCTCGAATAATTAAACTCTTGCCAGTACATTAATTAAAAAAAAATAAATGGCAGTGGTCATTGAATGCTCATAAATTCAAATTGACATACATATCTAACTGTTGGCTGAGCGATAGCGAAGCCTATTACTCCAGTGATGATCAAAAAGTTTCGCGTCTGTCTGTCTGTGTGTTTGTCTGTGCGCACGATAACTCGAGAACGAATTGAGCTAGCGCCCTTGGATTTTCAGGGTCGTTTTGTGTCATAAAAAGACAGGTCAAGTTCAAGGAAGAGCATTCTAGCTAAAAAATGGGATTTTTAAAAACGCAAAAACCACAGGTCCCCAAAGTGATGTCTTTAAAAATGTTTTTTTAATGTTTTCTAAGGGGTAACTCATCAAATCAAAGTAGAGACCTACGGGCGAAAATTTCGTCCGTTTGGCTCTATTGTTAACAGTTTAGGCGCCGCATGGAGTTTTTGACGAAAATAAGCGAATAAATGTACAACCCTGCATGCTTAGTCGAAGTGACGGGAAGTTGACGGGCCGGATTCCCGAATCTTTGTGTTCATATTTGCGATACCCGACTCTGGTGTCAGCGCCGCAGGCCTAGGCAGATGTATGCCAGGCGCGTCGCAGCGTAACAGTGTTTCGTGAGATATCGCGAAGCCTGTTACGCAAGACGTGGTCTGGCGTACACATTCCTATTTTATTTTACAGGTGATATACATCAGCTGCCTCCTGTGAAGGATACTCCACTGTATAGTGCTAAGATTGCCACCGATGAGCCATTAAAACAGCATGGTAAATTTGTATGGGACAGTGTTGAGGCTAGTTTATTTTTGCATCAACTTCACAGGCAAACTGATGTAGAGTTTACTTCCTTATTGGGAAGACTTAGTAAAGGCGAAGTCACGCAAGATGATTTTGAAGTTTTGCAGAAAAGATGTACCACATCTGTAACATATGATGAAAGAGAATCATTCAAATCTGTTTTGTGTCTTTTTCCAACAACGGATGAAGTTGCTCTTGCAAATCTTAACTACCTGACCAGTCTCAAGTCACATGCAGATAACAAACCTGTTCATGTTGTTTCTATTAATGCTGACCATAATTCTGATACTGCTAAAAGTGGAAGTAGCAATAATCAGGCTGGTGGGTTTGTTGCACATTTACTTCTTGCTCCATCATGCAGAATTATTGGCTGAGCGATCGAAGACAGTTATGATCAAAAAGTTTCGCGTCTGTCTGTCTGTCTGTGTGTCTTTCTGCCTGTCATCACGATAACTCGAGAGCGAATTGAGCTTGCGACCTGGGATTTTCAGGGTCGTTTTGTGTCATAAAAAGACAGATCAAGTTCGAAGAAGAGCATTTTAGCTCAAAAATTGGATTTGAAAAAAATCAAAAACCACAGGTCCCCAAAATGACGTTCTTTTAAATTATGCTTTTACTCTTTTCTATTTGGTAAGTCATCAAAGTAGAGTCCTAGGGGCGAAAATTTCGTCCATTTGGCTCTATCTGCAACCGTTTAGGCACCAGAGGGAGTTTTCTATACGTAAATGACCGCAACACATTTCTACGTTTTTTGGTCTCCGGTAAGGTAACGCGTTAAAATAAAACTCCGAGGAACAAAATTTGTGACGTTTGAAGCAGAATGCCTACTTACGACTCTGCCTTTGGCATGACTCGGGTGTCAGCGCCGCAGGCCTAGGTAGATGTATGCCAGGCGCGTCGCAGCGTAACAGTGTTTCGTGAGATATCGCGAAGCCTGTTACGCGAGACGTGGTCTGGCGTACATCTACCAGTTTATAAGGGCAGTGACACACTTATAAGTGCACAACTTTCCAGTTGAACACATGGAACTTCACTGCTACGCAGTTGAACTCTTGGCAGCATGTAACTTGTGGTTGCAAACGTACATGAGACAAGTATAAACTTTTTTAAATGGTGTGATGTCACATTGTTTAAAATGTTAGTTGTGTCACATTGTCTTATATATCATGTCACATTCGTTGCAACGTGACAAAGTTACGCTTACCATGCACTGGGCCTGTGCGGGCAGAACTATGCAGGGATGTCACGTTCCAACAAATGTGACATGTTTTACGGAATGTTATACAATTCATATTTTGTAGAATGTGACCTCACGGTATCTTAATAACTGTGTAGTTGCACACTTGAT